CAGCCCCTATTTTCACACATTTAAAAGCCATTTATGTCAATGGCTTCTTTATAATTTTTGTCCATTTGGGGGTAGTTGATCATTTTTTCTTGTCGTTGTTTTAGAGCTCTTGAGGAAAGTAGACCTTTATCTGTCTTACGAGTTGCAAATATTTTTTCACAGTTTGTCATTTCCCTCTCAAGTTTTGTTGAGGGTAATTTCTTCACTCAAATTTTTTTACACAGGCAAATCTATTTTATTTTATTTTATTTAAAAACATTTTTTAAAGACTAGCCAAGTGCAGTAGTGAGAAGGGGGAAAGAGTAGAACAAGGAGTTCGATCTGTACCTGTGAACAATCAATTGAAATAACTCACTCCCTTCAGACCAGTGGCAAATTTATTAGTACTTCCCTTCATATCTTGCTTAGAGATCTCTTCGCCACTCCAAGATTGTAAACAAAACAAAACAAAAACGCCATGATTTCTTTTACTACGGTTATGCTATGCTGTCACCTTTTTTCTTTCTTTTTTTTTTCTTTTTGTCTTTTTTACTGACTGGTAACGGGATCACAACCCTCGGTGTTGTGCCCGCACTGCGCTCAGCCAGTGAGCGGGAACCGGTCTCCACATGGGATCCGAACCCTTGGCGGGAGTGCCACCACACTCCCAACCGGCGCACTCTCCAGTGCGCCACCGGGCCGGCCCTTTTCTTTCTTTTTTTTTTGTGGCTGGGGGGTACGGGGATCCCAATTCTTGACTTTGGTGTTATCAACACCAAACTCTAATCGAGTGAGCTAATCGGCCAGTCCCTACACTTTTATTTTTAATATTAAAATATTTGATAGGGAGGCTGTCCGGTTAGCTCAATTGGCCAAAGCACAGTATTGTAACTCCAAGGTCAAGGGTTCAGATCCCCATACCATCCAGCTACCAAAATATATACACACACACACACACACACACACACACCACCACACTCCCAACCGGCGCACTCTCCAGTGCGCCACCGGGCCGGCCCTTTTCTTTCTTTTTTTTTTGTGGCTGGTGGGTACGGGGATCCCAATTCTTGACTTTGGTGTTATCAACACCAAACTCTAATCGAGTGAGCTAATCGGCCAGTCCCTACACTTTTATTTTTAATATTAAAATATTTGATAGGGAGGCTGTCCGGTTAGCTCAATTGGCCAAAGCACAGTATTGTAACTCCAAGGTCAAGGGTTCAGATCCCCATACCATCCAGCTACCAAAATATATACACACACACACACACACACACACACA